AATGTGCGCGGCGCTAGGGCGAGAGTCACAATTTGAAAATGAACCGCGATCAATCCGTGAAGCTCTTGCAATCAAACAAACGCATGTGCGCGGCGTTATAGCGAGAGCCACATGTTGAAAAGTAGCCGCCCTCAATCCGTGAAAATCTTGCACTTTTTAATGTGCGCGGCGCTAAGGCGAGAGCCGCATTTTGAAAACCACCCGCCCTCAAGTCGTGGAGCTCTTGCATTCTTTGTAGGAAGAATGTGCGCGGCGCTAAGGCGAAAGCCACATTTTGAAAAGGAACCGCCCTCCATCCGTGAATCCCTTGCATAAAAAGAACGATTGTGCGCGGCGCTAAGGCGAAAACCACATGTTGAAAACGACCCACCCTCAATCCGTCAAGCTCTTGCAAACGTTTAAAACGAATGTGCGCGGCGCCAAGGCGAGAGCCACATTTTGAAAACCATCGGCCCTCCCTCTGTGAAGCTGTTGCCACTATTTAAGCTTCAGAGTCATAAGCTGTGGGAAGTCTCAGGCGCAACGCCCGACCCGCCCTAAAAACTGGCCTCGGGTGTTACAGGGAGGAGCTATCTAGAAGGAAAAGGAATGGAGGCGGAGGAGGATGAGGAGGAGGAGAAGAAGGAGGAGGAGGAGGAGGAGGAGGAGGAGAGGAGGAGGAGGAGGAGGAGGAGGAGGGGAGGAGGAGGAGGAGGAGGAGGAGGAGGAGGAGGAGGGGAGGAGGAGGAGGAGGAGGAGGAGGAGAACGAGTTGGAGGAGGGGGAGGGGGAGGAGGGAAAGGAGGGCGAGGAGGGCGAGGAGGGGGTTGATGACGAGGAGGAGGAGCAGGAGGAGGAAGAGGAGGCGGAATAGGAGGAGGAGGAGGAGGAGGAGGAGGAGGAGGAGGAGGAGGAGGAGGAGGAGGAGGAGGAGGAGGAGGAGGAGGAGGAGAGGAGGAGGAGGAGGAGGAGAGAGGAGGAGGAGGAGGAGGAGGAGGATGAGGAGAGGAGGAGGATGAGGAGGAGGAGGAGGGGCAGGATGGGGAGGAGGGGAGGAGGGGGGAGGAGGAGGAGGAGGAGGAGGAGGAGGAGGAGGGAGGAGGAGGAGGAGGAGGAGGAGGAGGAGGAGGAGGAGGAGGAGGAGAGGAGGAGGGGGAGGAGGGGGAGGAGGAGGAGGAGGAGGAGGAGGAGGAGGAGGAGGAGGAGGAGGAGGAGGAGGGGGAGGAGGAGGAGGAGGAGGAGGAGGAGGAGGAGGAGGAGGAGGAGGAGGAGGGGGAGGAGGAGGAGGAGGAGGGGCGAGGAGCTCCACGGTTGGCAGCTACCCTTCGTGACAGGAGGGGGTTTCAACACATCACCGAAGCTGCTAGCGGACACGGGTTGGGTGGACAAGATTGGGGGCACAATCTTCCACACCTCTGAGCCTACGTGTCGTAAATCGTCGACCTCTTGGACCACCATCGACTTTTTCGTCATCTCGAAGTCGCTCGGGCCCTTGTTCGACGCTGTGTCGCTAAACAAACGTGGAACTACTGCCCCGCACTGGCCCGTCACGCTGGACCTCTCAGGTGCCCCCAGAGAGCTCAAGACCAGGGTCCTTGTAGGTCCGAAGGTTTTCCCTCGTGAAGCCCCTCTCGGTCCGCGACCTCCACCTCCAGATTGGTCTGAATGTTTAGCTCAGCTCGAGGCGCGCGGCGACCAGGCAGCTCTGGACAGGGGCTACGCTAGGTTTTGCAAGCTTTTCGAGGATGAGATGATCGGTATCCACGGCATTGACAAGAGTGATGCGCACAAGTATCGCGGTCGGGCCAAAGGAATGAAGACCAAAATCTATCCAGCTGTTTCAGTCTCGGGCGGTGCGTACCCTGTGTCTTCGGCCAAAGGGAGAGCTTGGAGGAAGTGGTCCATCCACATTCAGGAGCTTAGCTACCTCGTCAGGAAAGGAGTGCCTTTGGACCGACCAGATGCCAGATCAGTTTTTCTCCATGTGCTACAAGGGCCTGCAGCGCTCCGTGCCGACCCTTTTTGGCAAGAGTGCGCAGTCTCTGAGACGGACCTGTTTTGCCTCGACTTCTGTGGCCTCGTGCAGTTGTGCGCCAAGGCCAAGCGTAATGCAGAGCGTCTTGAGAAGCAGTTTCATTCGGATCGGGGCAAGGCCTGGAGATCTTGGGTCCAGGCAAGTCTGGGCAATGGGGCTGGATTGGCCCATAAGTTCACCAAGGTCCCCTTGGGATGGGTTCCATCGAACCCGAAAGGAGGGCCCCCCAAGGGGCCCATGGGGCGCATCGACGACCTCATGGAGGAGTGGGCTAGGATATGGAGCCCCAAGCCAAGCATGAAGGACCTCCCTGATCCCATCAGCCTCCTCACCGAGAAGATCTCCGAGTCTTCCGAGGAGCCCATGGTCTTGGCCACGTCCGATCAGATCCGAAAGTGCTCCAGGAAGTTCAAGGCCAGGACGGCGATAGGCGCTGATAGGACACACCCCAGGGATTTCGAGATCCTCAGCGACGGGGCCCTGGAGTGCGTGGCTGCTCTCTGGTTTTGGATGGAGTCTCTTGGCAAGCTCCCCGAGGTCCTGGCCACGATTCTCATAGCCATGATCCCAAAGGACGAGGAAGGTGGAGTTCGGCCAATCGGAATTTTGTCTGGGAGCGTCAGGTGCTGTGGGAAATATTCTCGGGTACAGGCTGATCGATGGGAGCGGGCCCATGACAGGCCTTACCATTTCAGAAGCAGGGGGCGTTCGTGTGAAAGAGCTGTTTGGGATCCGGCTATTAGGATGGAGCGCGCGTGCGTTTTTGGTCACTCTGCAGCGTCTGTCCTGGTCGATATGACAAAGTGCTATGAGAAGGTGGTTCATTTCTTCTTGGCCTTGGCGGCCATCAAGCACGGCTTTCCTCTGTACCGCCTGCGCTACCTCCTCTGCTTGTACAGGGGCCAGAGGGTCTTGCAGGTGGGCAGGGTCTGCTCTGAGCTTGTCGCCTGCATCCAGGCGATCTTGGCAGGTTGTACGTTCGCCACCACCCTGCTAAAGTGCCTCCTTCTCGACCCGCTAGACCAGGTGGTATCGAAGTTCCCGTCGGTTCGGATCTACAATGTAGTTGATGATATTACGTGCGGTGCTACAGGTAAGGCTAGGGCGGTGGCGAGAACGGCGGCCGATGCTACTTTTACGCTGCGCAGCAATCTTGAGAAACTCGGTTTCCTGATCTCTCCCACGAAAGGCCTGATCACGGCGACGTCTCGGGATATTGAAGTTCGGGTGAAAACACGACTCTTGCGTTGGAAATTCCAAGTGGTCAAGTCGGCTCGTAACCTAGGGGTTGACTACACTGCAGGTCGGCGCCGAACTCCAGTCCAGGGGTCGAGATGGGGGAGTTTGGGGCCCCGAGTTCGCCGATTTAGGGGCCTTCGCTCGGGCTACTCGGGCTTGTGCAAGGTCGTGAAGACAGGTGGATTGCCGGCAGCTTTTAACGGCACAGCGGTCATAGGCATGAACACTTCCACGGTCATGAAGCTGCGCTCTATCATAGGTCAGGCATCTTTCGGCAAAGGACGGGGCCGTTCCAGGACTCTGCAGTTTTTGTTGGGCCCTACCAAGGGCTTGGACCCTGTGTTCCAGGCCAACCTCCTGCCGCTCAAGATGTGGCAACAGGCTGTGAAACAGAAATGGGTCCCCGAGCACATCATGAGGGCCTGCGTGCAGGCCTACCCTACGGTTGCTACCAGGACCTGGGACAAGGTTCGGGGGCCAGCTGGAGCGGTTTGGGCTACCCTGGATCGTCTGGGCTGGAGGTTTATTGCTTGGGACACCTGGGAGTCTTGCCGTGGCTTCTTAGTGGACCTCAACCACTTCGGGAAGCGCACCCGTTCTAAGTTGATAGACTACAGTACGCATATGAGGCTCCTGGAGCATGTTGGGGTCCCTGATCCCGATGATCCTGAGCGTGTGGTTCCCCCCCTCCTGGGGCCCATCGTGGATGCCCTAAGAGGCCCCAGGAAAGCGGGGGGAAAATCAGCTGCCTCCTTTCTGTGTAATGTAGTCGCAGGAGGTCATCCCACTCAGGATGTTTTGTTCCAGGACAGGCGAGCCATCACGCCGCTGCGCAGGGTCTGCGGCATGTATAACGGCACGCCACAGCATCGTTTATACCAGTGTGATGGTTTCCTTCTGTTTAGGCGGGACTTAGACCTGCCGCAGTGCGTGGACAGAGGTTTGCAGCTGGGCGCCTGCGATTTCTTGTCGACGAGAGCGCTCATTGCTGACCCAGGTTATGACTGGCCCAAGGTTTCCACAGCCGAGGTTTGGCGGTGGGAAAAAGTGCCAGAAACAGGTTTCCTAGGCAGCAGGATATGCATCGACGGCTCAGGCTTTGACACGACCTCCCTGTATGCGGCTCGTGCAGGTTGGGCAGTGGTGGCCATGGATCAGAGCAGTCGATGCGAGGGCAGTGCGTTTGGACCCCTTCCTCATCCTGTCCAGGAACCAGGAGCTGGTGAACTATATGCTTTGCTGATAGCCCTCAAGCTCATTGGGCCCTCGCAGTGCACCCAGATCTACACAGATTGCCAGGCCGTCTTGGACGTTTGGGCCCGCGGGCCCGAGTCGGACATGTCAGAGGTGGCGTTCTCGGAGGTCTGGGAGCTCATCTGGGATCGTGTTCTGGATATAGGACAAGAACTGATCTGCCTGCACAAAATTAAGAGTCACATTTGCTGGAGTAGCTGTCTTGAGACCTCGGAGCCTCCCCATTGGGCCTGGGTCGGCAACGGCATTGCCGACGGTCTTGCTAAGCGCGGAGCCCAGGAGCACCCTTGCAATCCTCGCCTCCGCGCCCTCCAGGGACAAAGAAGTTCGGAGGTAGCAGACTTTAGTAGGTTTATTGCGTGTTTCGGGGAGATGCTCAGTAAGAAGAATTTCCCCGACGTCCAGAAATGCAAGGCCCCTCCCCGCCCCAAGCATGACCCTTTAGTTTTGGTCTGTGATTTCAAGGGGCACGCTGTCCACAGGACGGGCACTAAGGGGAAGGGGGCCTACCGTTGTGTGAACTGTGGCGCCTCGGGGTTTTCAGAATCGTCAGTGTGCGCACTGCCGTGCTCTGGCTTCCCCAGGCTGGCCAGGCTCGCCCACGCCAGCCATAAGCTCTGGATTAGTGGCGGCCGAGTCGTGTGGTGTAATTCGTGCGCTGCATTCGGGTCTGTCAAGCTGTGCCTGTTGGGAGGTCCGTGCCCTGGCGCGCCTCCCAACAAGCCAGCGGAGAAGACCCTAAAGCAGCTGAAGGAGGGGAAGGATCCGTCCACAAAATCCTTCGTGGGTCGGCCTGTACCCCTCCATCGGTCGGGGCCTTAGCGGTGCGGTCGCGCGCCTGCTGGCCCTGGCCTCGTTTTTCGCGTCGCTCGCCGTCGCCCGCCGCCCAGTGTTCTCGCCTGGAGGAGCTTGGCTGCGCAAGGATCGACAGGATCGACAGGAGGAGGAGGAGGAGGAGGAGGAGGAGGAGGAGGAGGAGGAGGAGGAGGAGGAGGAGGAGGAGGAGGAGGAGAGGGAGGAGGAGGAGGAGGAGGAGGAGCAGGGAGAGGAGGGGGAGGAGGGGGAGGAGGAGGTGGAGGAGGAGGAGGAGGAAAAGGAGGAGAAGGGGGAGGAGGAGAAAGAGAAGGGGGAGAGGGAAGAGGAGGAGGGGGAGAAGGAGGATGAGGAGGAGGAGGAGGAGGAGGAGGAGGAGGAGGAGGAGGAGGAGGAGGAGAAGGAGGAGAAGGGGAGGAAGAGGAGGCCCCGTTTCTTTTCTTCCTCGCTCTTTGTGCTTCCTCCTCGTTCTTCTCCTCCTCTTCCTCCTCTCTCCCCACTTGCAGCTGGATCCTGGCCACTACGATCGCCATGAAACAACATCTTCTTAGTCGAGATGACCGGCTCAGTGCCATAATTGAACATTGGCCCTCATACATACATTGTTGCGGGTAAGGTGGTGTCGTCCCAAAGCGAGCGCCACCGCGCGTGCTGGCGAAGGCCACAATGCATCCGACACAGAGCGGCCTGACTAACCAAGTAAGGCAACACGTGCGTCACGCCGGCGTCCACCCAGGGTCCACCCAGGATCGGCCAGCACGCCCATATATGGATTTGCGTTGGCTTGCGCCATATGCCTGTACAATGGAGGCCCATGCCAAGAAGCACTCTGCTTGTCTCCACGGTGCCCTGGTTTCTTGGGTTGCGATGGCTCTGCTGTGGAAGGCGTGACGTTCCCACGCCGAAAATCGATGGACGTCCTGGGGTCTCAGTGTTGGGTTTCTTGTGGAAGGTTTCTTGTGGACTGGCTTCCACTGCGTCCGTGTAGCATGTGATGGCATGGTGGTGGGTGGGACGTCCTCCTCTGTCCCTGCTCGTGCCTGCTGGCCCGCCTCTGTCCTTCCTTGTTCGGGCGAGTCTCCTCCTCCTCCTCCTCCTCCTCCTCCCTCTCCTCCTCCCACCTCCTCCTCCTCCTCCTCCTCCTCCACTTCCCTCTCCTCCATTCCTTTTCCTTACACATAACTTCTCCCTGTTGTACCCCGAGGCTAGTTTTTAGGGCGGGTCAGGCGTTTCGCCTGAGACTTCCTCACCATTTATGACACTGAAGCTTGAAAGTTGACAGTTTCGCATATGGAGGGCGGGTGATCTTCAACATGTGGCTCTCGCCTTGGCGCCGCGCACATTCGTTCTAACAATTTGCAAGAGTTTCATGGATTGAGGGCGGGTGGTTTTCACAATGTGGCTCTCGCCTTAGCGCCGCGCACACTGGTCTTAACAGTTTGCAAGAGTTTCACGGATTGGGGGCGGGTCGTTCTCAACATGTGGCTCTCTCCTTAGAGCTGCGCACATTCGCTTTCAAAAGAGGACACGAGGTTCACGGATTGAGGGCGGGCCATTTCCAACATGTGGCTCTCGCCGTAGCGCCGCGCGCATTCGTTTAAAACAGGTGCAAGAGTTTCACGGATTGAGGGCGGGCCGTTTTCAAAATGTGGCCCTCGCCCTAGCGCCGCATATTCGTTTTAACAACATGGCAAGAGTTTTAAGGATCCAGGGCGGTTTCTTTTCAAAATGTGGCTCTCGCCTTAGCGCCGCGCACATTCGTTCCAACACTGGCAAGAGTTTCACGGATTGAGGGCGGTTCCTTTTCAAAATGTAGCTCTCGCTTTATCGCTGCGCGCATTCGCTTGAATCATGTGGGAGATTCGCACGGACTCCCATGATCAACGTACAATCAATGGTATTTTGGAAGGATTCCAGATTATGAGGGTGCAACAGTTATGTTGATTCGCGGTGCTGGCGTTGTGGCACGGTTCAGGATCGTCAATACTCAACAGGCAAGTTGATCAGTGGTGGTGGAATCCCGATAACAATGTTTTGGCATGCTTCAGGGTCTTCAAACGGCTGTCTTCCAACGAGGCAGTTGCCTCAGTGGAAGTGGACCGTTGTAGGGGCCTGCGAAGAGGGAGCTTGGAGGGAGGGTTTATTCCAACATCGTTGATGACTCTTGGGTTTACACTGGTCCTCCTCCTCCTCCTCCTCGTCCTCCTCCTCCTCCTCCTCCTCCTCCTCCTCCTCCCTCTCCTCCCCTTCCGTCCCTCTCCTCCTCCTCCTTCTCCTCCTCCTCCTCCTTCTCCCTCCTCCTCCCCCTCCTCCCCTACTCCTCCTCCTCCTCCGCCTCCTCCTCCTCCTCTTTCTTTCCCACGTCCGTGCGCGCCCGCGGCGCTCGCGCAGCACCGCAGAGCAGGCGGACCCGCAGAGCCTCGTCTCCGCTCCGGCTCCTCGCTGCCACGAGCTCTCCGCCCCGTGCCGGCTGCTCTCTCAGCTGTTGCAGCTTCCCCCTTCTTTCGGCGGCGCGCCCAGGGGTTTCGGGGGTGGACAGAACCCCCAACAGTGACACGTCGATTAGTGAATTGTCCGTTTTCGGTTTTTGAGAGATTTTCCAGGCTTGCGCCCGCCAGGTTTGGGCCTCAGGTCGTTTTCACTAAACCACGTTTTACTAAAGGGGGGTCTGTCCATCCCCGAGGGTTGAGCAGAGCCGAGGGTCAGAGAGCACCTTCCTCCGAAGGACTACCAAACAAGGGACGTCAAGGTGGTCAAACGCTTCGTCGGTTCAGTCGTCGAAGACGTGCAAAGTCCAATCTTTCGCTTGCATCCAAAGTTTTGGCTTGACGCCGGGTGTGCTGCATCAGTTCCAGCTTGACCGCACAAGTTGGTTGGTTGGTTGGTTGGTGTGTTCTGCAGACCTGGCCCCTCAGCCCTGCTCAACCCAGGGGCAGGGCTCGAGCTAAACGGTGTGTTGGCGATGTCGTGGGCCAGTTTTGTTTTGACTTCATTCCGCAGCCGAGGCAGCAGCGAAGACAGAACGAAGGAACACGAAAATATAACGAAAACGAACATCACTGTTTAGCTCGGGCCCTGCCAGGGGGCAAGGCAGAGGGGACGGGCCTTCCCAGAAGAACCAGAAGACCTTCGGCCTTCCGAGGAGCTTTTTGAGCCTCCTCGGGGGTCGACGGCGGCTTCTCGGAAGGCCGGCGGGCTTCTGAGAAGTCCCGCCGCCTCTGAGAAGGCCTCGGCGCGCCGCTGGGTTCCGGTATTCGGGTCGTAGCTTGGGTCTATTAGGAGGCCGCTCGGGACGATCCAGGCATCTCTGGAACGCTCTCGGCGAGGCGCAGCCGCCAGAAAGCATCCTGAGGCGGGACATTCGCCGAGCGCCGACGAACCGCCCGAACATCGGCGCGCTGGGGCGTTCGTGGAGGGATGTGCCCAGGCGGCATGGAGGACTCCTTGTCTGATAAGGGCGGCAGTGATGTGTCGGGACGATGGAGATGGATACCGACATAATGGGTACAAAGACTAACAGCAGTCCTTGCCCATAGTTGGGCTAGATTCGTTGTCCGCGCCGCTGCGGACGTCGTCCATTTGAAACAGAAGGCCGCCTCGCCAACAGCCGCCGCTGTCGGTTTTGGACAACATTTGTTGTTTGTCATCTGGCTCATTTTTTGAGTACCCGTTTCGGGTGTCCAAACGTCCGTGGCCAATCCACGCTTGGAGTTCTACCAGCTTCCAGACCCTGGATGCCTTGCCCAATTCAAGAACAGAAATATCGGGTTGGGAGGATGGGGTTTGGAGACATGAGGGTCTCCGTACCCGTAGGCGGCCAAAGGTATCGTTCACTGCATTTGGATGCTATTGCTCATGCCTCTATCCCCCCATCGGTCGTTGAAGTAGGTATTTTTGGAGTCCCAGATCCCAATCTATTTTAAGCGCCTTCCTACTTCAATGATCGAGTGACTTCACCTTTTTCGTCCTCCTTCCTGGGCGGGCGGACACCCAATCTATTTTCAACGCCTTCCTACTTCATGCTTCTACCTACTTCTTCCGACCGATGGGTATCAGGTGGGGAGGATGGGGTCGGGAGAAATGAGGGTATCATGACCCGTAGGCGGCCGAAGGTATCGTGCATTGCATCCGGATGCTAGTGGTCATACCCTTCATCCTCCCAACCCATTTCTCCCAACACGATGACTCTTGTCCTCAGGGGTGAGACGGCCTCCACCTCTGCAGGGGCGCCTTGTCCTCGAAGGCCTCCGGAGGAGCCCGTGCGTGCGCGCGCCCCTCGGCGAGTCAACCACGAGCGCAAGTCCTCGAAGGCCTTCCGAGGGGCCCCGCGCGCGGCGGGCGCCGCTGCCCAGGAGGGTCGCGGAGACCGCGGCGCGCCCGCGGGCGGCGGTGCGGACAGGTACAAGGCGGCCCCCGGGGGGCGCCGGGGGGGGGGGGCGGGTGGGGGGAGCGCTTCTCTCCGAGGACGGGAGGGGGCCTCGTGTACCCTCGCAGTTCCATCTTGAGGGTGCGTCAGCGCCGTTTCGCTTCTGGTAGTCGATGATATAGCTCCGATTTAGCGTCGAGTATCGTCGATTGGCGTCGATCTCCCATCGACTAGCGGCGGTCAGCGTCGATCAGCGTCGGTACGGGGAGGACGGGGGGAGGGATCAGGAGAGGAAAAGGTACGGAATACCGCTGCCCTCGCCTCGTTTTCGCCATTCGGAATTCTGATCAGAACGCTCTCAGGGAAAGGTCTGGGGAGTAGAGGTATCGGTACCTGTTGGTTCGCCCAGAATGAGAGGGAGGGAGAGGGATCAGATGAGGCAAAGGTACGGATACCGCCGCCCTCGCCTCGTTCTCGCTGTCCCGGGCATCCTGGGAGGCCCTCGTCGCCACCGCTGGATCCGCCTCGAAGTTCTGGTCGGAACGCACCCCGGGCGAGGTCCAGGGAGAGGGGAGGGAGGGGCGCCGGTCCTGGTGGGCACGGCAGGCAGGGTGCGCCGTCGAGAGGAGTGGCCGCGTGTGAGGGGAAGAGTGGGCCCGAGCAGGTGGAGCCCAACTGTCAACGTAGGAGGAGGGAGGAGGAGGAGGAGGGAGGAGGAGGAGGAGGAGGAGGAGGAGGAGGAGAAGGAGGAGGAGGAGGAGGAGGAGGAATAGGAGGAGGAGGAGGAGGAAGGACTGAGGCAGGAGCAGGAGGACCGCAGTAATCCCTGAGTCCAACAACGATTCTGCAACGCGCTCTCACGTCCCAAATCTCCTTATCTTAGACATCCCTGCGCGCTTTAGTTTTCATTGCGGGAAGTGTCCTATTGACATACGAACACCCCATGGGCCATCATTCGGGCGAGAGCCCGTTTTGGAAGGAGGCGCCCTTAATGGCCAATACTTCGGATTTGGAGAGAGGCAGGGTCGTGACATTCAAGGTGCTGTCCACCCAGAGCCTCGATGGAAAACGGAGCCTCCATCAGTGCAACTGTCGCGCAATGTTTGATTTATGGTCATAGCGAGCGACAGCTCCGATTTTCAAGAGAATCACCCTCGATCCGTGAAGCGATTACGCAGCTTCAACTGCTGGCCATCAAGCCAAATGACCACTCAATCCAGAACCACATTTTGAACGTTGTTTTACCTCCATCCGTGCGAACGCTGGGGACTTTGAGATGCATGTGCGCGGCGCTATTGCGAGAGCCACATGTTGATAATCATTCGCCCTTCACCCCATTAACCAGCGGGAACATGCACGGTGGATGTAGGCGGCTCTACTGTGAGAGTGAGGTCTTCAGTTGGCACCCATTCGCACTCCATATGTGTAACGTTTGCAGTCTTGTGCGATGGATGTGCGCGGCGCTAAGGCGAGAGACACATCTGAACTCAGTTCCAGCTGAACCATTCGCGCTCCACCCGAGTGAGTATCGCAAGCGTCAAGCTTGTCATACATGGTGGGAAAGGAAGTCACACGCGACAGACCTGGCCCGCAGCACTTGCACGTCTGAGAGTGCGGTCACGAGTGAGGGAAACAGCCTGTGGCAGGGTCGTCGAGCCTCTCTCTGCGGAGGTCTTGAGCCCCTGGCGTGGACCAGGGAGGGAGAGGCGTTTGTCGGGCCCGTTCTGTCCTCTCCCGTTTCGCCTTCGCCAGGCTTCGTTTTTTCTCTCCAAAGAAGACACGTGATGATGACAACTGCCAGCTTCCCAACCGATGGGACGATGATTCCACCAAGCAAGCCTAGGGAGAACACATCTTCGCCAGGCTTTGCGTATTTGGCATTCTCGTCGATGCCGAGCCATACTTTTTCGGCTTCTTGCCCAATGCCTTCACGGTAGAGCATGCAGGGGCTCTGCGGAGCTTTGCGGCAGGTCCGTCTCGCCCCTGCGCGGAACGTTTTCTTAGTGGACCATTCTTCTGTTCTGGCCGACAGGGACGGTCCACTGACTGCATGTCCACGACACACCGGTTGTCCGTCGGACTCGTCCTCCCCGAGGGGGGAGGTGTGCTCCCACCGCAGTGTCCCCAGCCCTGATGCAGCTGCACAAAAACCAAACAGCCGCCGCGATGCCACCACAGAGCTCCACACTCAGCAGAAGTCTTAAGACAAAACTGCAAATTTCGTGTACTCCAGAAGTCGCTCAAGAAATCAAGCTTCTGGACTGGACCCCGGGCGTTTTCTTGGAGCTCTGTTTCTTCGTAGAATGTTCGTAGACCTGGGCCTGGACTGCCGTTGAAGAACACGCTTTGAATGAAGTCCATTTTCTTAGCCTCAAGTTTTCAAAACCCTAAGCAGGTACCGACAATCAGGGCCGAGAGAGGATCGATCCGATGATCGGCACAGGTAGCCGATGATCAACCGCCTCACCTGCGGACCAGTGGCTATGTCCTAGCCACCCGTGTCCAGCTACCCCCAGAGGGCATCGCCAGATCGGTGGTTCCCCGATGGGGTCGGTACCGCCACATCGCATGCTTTAGAAGTTCCCGTATGGCCTGGTCAGCAGCCAGGAGCCGTCAGTGTAGATGTCGAGGGCCGCGTGCAGCATCGGCCCTCGAGGGAAAGTTTTGGAGAGGACATCCGCGGTGGAGGAGTGAAGGTGCACCGCACTCACTTCTATACCCCTGGGTGGGTGTATGTGCGGCCGTTTTTGCGCTGGCATGTGCGTGCATGTGCGCAGCATGTGCCAGGCATGTGCCCGGCATGTGCGGGCGTTTTTTCGATACATGTCCTACTGTGCGCACGTGCCCGGGCATGTGCGGGGTTATGTGCATTGGGTTTTGATGCATGCAATGCAACGCACGTGTCCGCGCATGCCGACGCACATGCCCGCACATGCCCGCACATGCGGAACTTGTGCGGACGTCGCAGATCGGTCAATGTCACATACACTCACATGTGCTGAATCCTACACCCGCATATGCTCGCACATGCCGATGCACATGCACGCACATGCCCGCACATGCGGAACATGTGCGGGACTCGCAGATCGGTCAGTGGCATATGCACACGCTCGCCTGTGTCCCCCCATGCGGACGACAGCGCGGACCCGCACATGCACGCACATGCGCTGAACCCCGCGCCCGCACATGCTCGCACATGCCGATGCACATGCACGCACATGCGTTATCGGAATTTTCAGGGCTCCCTACTACAAGGGCCTTCAGCGCTTCGTGACCTTCGGGGCCTGGGGGGGGGTCCCAAAGTTTCCCGCGGCAGTCAGGCTCTGGCCTCGGAGGTGCCGTGCCCTATTGTGGTGAAGCCACTTTGGCTTGAGGCATTCTCCTAACGCTGACCTCCGAGATGCCGTGTCACATGGTGGTCTGGCTATTTTCGCGTGAAGCATCCTTGCAATTCTGGGTTCGAGATGCCTTGCGCTGAGGTGGTCAGGCCACTGTCGCCTGAGACATCCTCGCAACTCTGGCTTCAGAGATGCCCTGAGCTCACTTGGTCCATCCACCTTCGTCTGAGACATCCTCGCAACTCTGGATGACAAGATGCCCTGACCTGCGGTGGTCAGCCCACGTTGGCAGTGTGGTCTGAACTCTGGTTTCCGAGATGCCCTGGGCAGGTGGTCAGGTCACTCTGGCCAGAGACATCCGCGCAATTCCAACCTCAGAGATGCCCTGCGCTGAGGTTGTCAGGCCATTGTCGCCTGCGACATCCTCGCAACTCTGGGTTCAGAGATGCCCTCTTGTTCATCCGCTTTCGCTTCAGACATCCTCGCAGCTCTGGTTTCCGAGATGCCCTGCGCAGGTGGTCAGGCCACCCTCGCCAGAAACATCCTTGCAACTCTGACGTCGGATATGCCCTGACCTGCGGTGGTCAGGTCACTCTGGCCTGAGACATCTTCGCAAGTTTTACCTCGGAGATGCCCTGCCCTATGGTGATCCAGCCGCTTTCGTCTGAGATATTCGCGCAACTCTGGGTTCTGAAATTCCTTGAACCCAAGTGGTAAGGCCACTGTCGCCTGAGACATCCTCGCAATGCTGACCTCGGATATGCCCCCACACGAGGTGCCAACAGTCCTTGCAGGCCTCGATCTGCGTGAGGGCTGTGCCGATGGAGGCGCCGAGAGTTTTCCGGGGGCGTGCTGTCCCATGGGACGCCTCGCTGTCTCACGAGACGCATCATGCTTATTTTGAATGCGAGCTTGGTGTCCGTTAGGGTCGTCGCTTTGCCTGGCCCGGCCTGTGCAAATGCTGTGCGTGGCTGTGCTGGGCATGTGCGGAACGTGCAGCAAAGCGGGGGCCGGCCAGGCCGTGGTCGGGTGGGAAGGATTCCGAGATGCCCTGAGCTCAGGTGCTCCATCCACTTTCGCCTGCGGCATCCCCGCAACTCTGCCCTCGGAGATGCCCTGCCCCATGATGGTCTGGAATTTCCTGAACTCAGGTGGTCAGGTCATTTTCACCTTAAACATCCTCGCAACTCTGTGTGACCAGAGATGCCCTGCCACATGGTGGTCTGACCAATTCCGCCTGCGACATCCTGGCAGCTCTGGTGTCCGAGGTGCCCTGCGCTGAGATGGTCAGGCCACTTTCGCAAGAGACATCCTCGCAACTCTGGGTTCTGAGAAGCCCACTGCGACATCTCCGCAACTCTGACCTCGGAGACGCCCTGCCCCATGATGGTCCAGCCACTTTCGCCTGAGACATCCTCGCAACGGTTCCGAGATGCCCTGAGGAGGTGGGCAGGCCTCTTTCGCCAGAGACGTCCTCGCAAATCGGGCATCGGACATGCTCTGAGCTGAGGTGGTCAGGCCACTGTCGCTTGAGACATCTCCACAACTCGGACGTAGGTGATGCCCTTGCCCATGATGGTCTGGCCACCTTCGCCCGAGACATCCTCGCACCTCTGAATTCCGAGATGCCCTGCGCTGAGGTGGTCAGGCCATTGTCCCCTGAGACAACTCCGCATCTCTGGCCTTGGAGATGCCCTGAGCT